CTCATATAGACCTCCTCCTCATTGCCCTCAGGCTCCAGCAACCCAGGTTGGGCTACTCACATGTATAGGTGCCCTCTTCATTCTGTTTAGGTTCTGATTCTTCATGTCACACACACACACACACACACTTGTTCAGGCTATGAAAACCTGGCTCCCTCCTTGCTCCACCCTAATTGACACCCCACATCAGATCTCTACCCTATGGAGATGCCCTTCGCATTCCCACTGAGTTCATGCTCATCCCACTCGGGCTCCCAACCCACATGGCCTCTCCTCATCCCCACCCTGTGGCCTCCAGGCTAATCTGCCCCTTCAGGTGGATGCTCTTCTCCCTTGCTCAGACTGTGACTTCCCAACCTGGGCCAATCCCATGTGTGCACTCCCTCCTCACTCAAGTTCTGATAGCCCACACCAAACAGCCCCCACCATGAAAGCTTACCTTCCGCTAYTCATATAATGGACTGGATTATTCAGGAAGGTGAGGTGCTCAGAAAATATTAACTACACCCTATGGGTATTTTTTTCATGAAATTCTAGTTTTAGTAATGTACACAGTATGTGTTGAAAGGAAAGTGACCATGACACTTGGAGCGACCAAGAGATCTTTATTGTTGATAGTGTCATTAACAGAGAAGAAAAAAGAGAGAGAGAGAGAAAGAAATCGAGTGAAAGAGAGCAGGGAAAAAGAGAGGGAGAGAGAAAAGCAAGAGAGAGATTGGGGGAGAGCAAAGCATAAGAGAGAGAAAGCAAGAGAAGAAAGAGAGAGGGAGAGGGGATGAGAGAGAGTAAAAGAGAGGGAGAGACAACAAAGTGAGAGAGGGAGAAAGAGAGATAAAGAGAGAAGGAGGGTGAGAGAGAGGGGGCGGGTGACAGAGAAGAAGGGGGGGGAGGGGGAGTTTTTATAGCCAAAATCTAATGGGGTCTTTGAGTCTGCAAGCTGCCTTCTTGGCTACAATGATTGGATCATAGAGTAATTGCTAAGGGTGCCATCTTCTGCCATCAGGAAGACCGGGCAGGGGCCAGATGTGGGTTTCCCTTGCACCAGAYAGGTGGAGTCGAGTGTTCAGCCTTGAGTGGGGTTGAGTGTTCAGATTTGAGGCAAACAAGGATCCAGACACAAAAGAAACCAGACAGATGAGGGTTGAGTGTTCAGCCTACCCTGCAGCTAACATTTGTTCAGCCTGCCCTGCAGCTAACATGTGTTAGCCCTGAGGTTCCTCCCACTAGACCCCAACTCTTAAAGTTGCCACCACCTTCCAAGAGCACCATGCTGAGTATCAAGCTTTAAACACATGGGATTTTGGAGGACATTCTAGATTCAAACTATAGCAATGCATGTATTGGATGATGATGTAAAATATATTTCTTCCCATGGGCCTCAATCCAAAAAGTTTAAAAGCTGTGGCCCTAGAAAAATTCTAGAATGATGGTGCTACTGGCCTCCCAATTAATGTCTCACTGTACTCCAGATTGCTGTCTCCAGAGAGACCCCATTGTTTGTGTAAACACCCTGACCCAAAGGATGCTGCTTTCAYGGCAATAGTACAACTTGTTGGGCCACTGAAAGTCAAAAACCCAAATTCTAGCTGTCTCAACCACTTTACCAGTCAAGCCATTCAGTTACTTTATACATTAAAAATACAAAAAAAAAAAAATTAAAGTGAATTTAAAAATCAGTAAAAATGCAGATGATGGGTTGAGGGTATGGATGATGGACGAGTGTTTACCTAATATGCATGAGGTTTTGGTGTTATGGTTTGGATGTGAGGTGTCCCCCAAAAGCTCATGTGTGAGACAATGCTAGAAGGTTCAGAGGAGAAATGACCAGATTGTGGGAGTTCTAACCCAACCAGTTAATTAATCCCTGATGGGATTAACTGAGTGGCAACTAGAGGCAGGTAGGAGTGGCTGGAGGAGGTGGTTAATTGGGGGCATAGCTRCTGGGCATATTTTGTATTTGGGGCCAGAGTCTCTCTCTCTCTGCTTTTTGATCACCATGATGTGAGCTGCTTCCCTCTGGCACACCTCCACCATAATGTTCTGCCTCACCACAAGCTCTGAGGGATGCAGCTGGCCTTCTCTGGACCGAGACCTCTGAAACCATGAGCCCTCAAATAAACTTTTCCTCCCCTATAATTGTGCTGGTCAGATCCTTTAGCAACAGCAGCAAAAAAGCTGACTAAAACAGCTGGGTTCAGTCTTCTACACCATACACACACATACACACACACACACACACACATACACACATACAAATGCAGATGAGATTTGCTTTTCTCTCAAAGCATAAAATCAGGTAGTATATGAAAGTGCATTGAAAAATACAATAATTACTATAATAACCAATATTTAAGGATTGCATATATACCTCTGTATAAAAGTGCATGCAATTTTTTTTCCTTCAATGCAGTACTGGGGATTATCCCCAAGGCTTTGCACATGCTAAGCAAAACACTCCATCGCTGAGCTATACCCCAAAGCCCTAATATATTTTTAAATGGAAACAATTTTTAAATATTTTTTTTAGTTGGACACAATACCTTTATTTATTTATTTTTATGTGGTGTTGAGAATTGAACCCAGCACCTTGCACATGCTAGAGACAGGTTTTCACTACATTGTCCAGGCTGGTCTCAAACTTATATCCTCCTGCCTCAGCCTCCTCAGTGCCTGGGATTACAGGCCTATACCACCATACTTGGCTAAACCTGTGTTTGATCCCAGGTCTATTACACTCCATCCTCAAAAGCATTAAATGGCACTTGTAAAATGCTGTGAAGAAAAGAAGTTTATGGCATTAGAAGGAAAGGAGCATATTTGCTCTCTGAACTTTGAATTATTTGTATGGAGAACTGTACCTGTTGCCACCCCACCCCCCCATAATAGTCCTTGAAAATTTGTGGTACTATTTCCTCTTCTGTGCAAATATAACTAAACACAAGACTTTGAGGCTAAATGGGGCAACTCTGAGATGCCAGTAGTGGCATCTGGTTCAGGGTCCTGGAGTGACATAGCAGTATCCTTAGCTATAAAATGGCCACTATGTTAAGGCCCTTTTGTAGTAAATGATGAATATATTGAAGAATGAACAAAGGAGCACCAGTTAGTTCTAGATCTCTGGCAGATTGGTGGGAAGGGGTAGTAAGCCAGGGAGCAGTGCCCTCAAGCCCCCAGTGGGAGGGGCTACCGGAGAGGAGGGCAGACCTAGGGGTCTCTGTCAATCTGGTGTTCTCTAGGACTCCCTGCTGGGAGGATGGACAATCCTTAGAACATTTGGATTTGGAGGGATGCGGGCAGAAGTGCTTGGGGTTTGAGATTAGGCAAGAGAGGGCTCAGGGTTCTGAGTTCAAGAAACTGATTATRGGTATTTCTTCCCAGCCCTATTTCCTGAAAGAATGGTCAATGTGAATTTTTCTTTATACTAAGCCCTGGGCTTGGGGTTAGGGATATGTGCCCTGCTCTTCACTGTTCCATAACTCCTGGATTGGCCAAGAAATGAGATTCAGAGGCCAGGCCTCAAGAATACAGATGGGGCTGGGGATGTGGCTCAAGTGGTAGCGCGCTCACCTGGCATGCATGCGGCCCAGGTTCGATCCTCACCACCACATACAAACAAAGATTAAAAAAATTCTCTCTTTAAAAAAAAAAAAAAGAATCCACAGGTGATCTTATCTCACTAGTTCTTGGTATACACAATTGTTGCTCTCTCCTATGGCTTGAGCCAGAAATCTCCCATTTCTGCTTTGCATAGACATTTTCACATAGCTTGTTCTCAGCATAAGACCTTGCTCCAGAGGCAGCTCAGCCAGGGCACTTGAACCAGGAAACAAGGCTTGAATTGGAAAACCCTGGTTTGATAAATTAGATGCAAATATTTTATCATTTTATATAGGGGACTTGTACAATCGAGGACCTTGGTATCTGAGGGGGTTCTTGGAACCAGTTCTCATGGATACTGACAAATTACATACCTAGTCACCTGGCTTCTGAGTAGACTCTTTCTACCCTAATTTGGCAAATCAAACTCTAGGGATCTTATTCTCTCCATTCCCCCTGAAGCCCCAACCAGGCATGTCTGAAATAGTGTCAATGGTCATATCTTGGACCTGACCATTACAGCCATTTCTCAGGTCTGGAGTAGCTCAAGACTATATATCCACAGTCCATATTGAATAGGAATTTATATATTTTTGCAGTGCTGGGGATTAAACCCACACACGCTAGATAGCTCTATCACTGAGCTACATCCCATCACTGAATAGGAACTTTTATTCTCAATTCCAGAGTGTCATGGATTGGGGAAACAATGAGCAGAAGGTTTTAGGTTCATTGGTGCTCTAATTGGATCTGGGCAGAGTAGCTGTGGCTGGGGTCTGGGTTTGAGCATGATGAGCCTGTTCTCCCACAGGGCTGGCCAGAGCAGCAGTGGAAAGAGAACTAAAGTGGAAAGAGAAAGTTGGGATATAACCAGCACTGTGGYATATGCCTGTAGTCCCAGTTGCTCAGGAGGCAGAAGCAAGATCAGGTGTGCCCAGGAGTATGGAGCCAACCTTGGCAACACAGCAAGACTCTGTCTCTTAAAAAATAAGGCTGGGGTGGAGACAGGAAGATAGAATGTCCAGCACAGGATATGAGAATAGCTGGATCATGTCTGGGAGCCATAAGGTGGCCTCAGTGGGAGCTGAATCCTCAGATCTGCCTGGGACATCTCTGCTGAGGTAATCTGGAGAGCTTCTCAGCAACAGAGATTGTTTGGCAAAGGACAAAAAGGGCAACAGGTGACAGCCTAAGCCACAAGAAGTAAAGCCTTAAGGAGTAAGTACATCTTCCACCCTGAGGAGCGMAATGCCGCCCCAACAGATGTGGAACTGCAGAAACTCCAGGAAGTTTCAGTGGAAGGCCCCTCTGTCCCTTCCACTGACAAAGACATCTATGCACAGGAGGGGCTCTTCTTCTCCAGGGACTGGGTGGATAGTTGAAGACAGAACAGAAGCCAAGACTCTAGATGCAACAGCAATTTTTATTCCCTAGGAACAAAGATACATGAGGAAGAAACTCCAAAAGAAAATAGGAGTATCAATGACAGAATGATACCAGGGTGCCTGGCTCTGGAGATGAGGATAGCATATTCCACAGAGGACCTGGTTACGGCCCTGGTTCCTTGGATCCATATTTGCCCATCCCCAAAAGCCCATTTCAGTGTTTTAGGGTGGGTCAGTGATGTGGAAAACCTGCCTACTGTACACAAAGCAGATGAACACATCTGCCTATTCAGAGAGGCTCAGGGACATCAAAACCTCTCAAGAACAAATTAGGCACACAAGAACGAGGAGTCTGGGAGTCACAGACAACCTGAAAGGGATCACAGGGCCCACCGTGGCTGACAGAATCGGTGCCCACATGGAATAATAAGGGAACAGTTGTCCTTTAAGGAGCTTTGAGCTATGCGGAGCTGGTRGAGCTGGTCAATCTTGTCAAATTGGGCCCCAGGAAAATTTTCCCCAGAAGTATGGTCTCTAACTTCTCCAAAGGATACTGGCTATGCTGAATCAGAAGCCATATCCCTTTCCCAGAGGATTTGCTCCTATGCTCATTATTGCACTATCCTTCCCCCTGCAGCCTGGTCCTCTAGAGAACAGACTGGCAAAGGATGAGGAGAAATTCTGCCCTCCTCTCACCCACCTGGAATGGGACAATTTCCATGGCAGGTGAGAACCTTTAAGAACAAGATCCTTTGGTGTAGACAAAGTCACCCAGTCCCATCCCTGCACTATAGTGTACTCCGACYGCTGGCTGGCAGTGGGGATCTGTCCCCATCATAGAGAGGTCTCTTGGAGAACAAATGTGGGGCTGCTGCCCTGGTGGGCTGAGCCATCCTGAGCCATCTCCTCCTTGTCTCTGCTGGCCCACAGCACCCCATTCATCTTCTTCTCCGGAAACAGGTCACAGTCCGTGGGGACATCCTGGGAACATGCAGAGCAAAGGCAGTGGAGCTGGTAAGAGTGGGCAAGGGTGGTGAAGGGACACATGTAGGAAAGCGAGAGACCCTGCTTGGGTCCCCGCTAAAAGGGAGCCCAGCCAGGCCAGTGGGGGAGCAGGGGAGGAGAAGGAGGAGCACAGTGCAGAGCAGGAGTGGGATAGGGCAGCAGAAAGGCCAGGCTGAGCTGAGCTGATCCTTTTGCTCCCCGAGCCAGCTTGGCCTTGTGGAAGGGCAGCTGCTGGGGACAGTCCCTGTTTAGGCACATGATTAGAAAAAGGAGTGCTGGAGACAGGAGACAGAAAAGGGGATAGGAGGGGACTTGGAAGGCAAGTGGCATCTGTGTACAAGAGAAGGAAGTAGGTCATGTGACAATGGGTCCCACCTGGCTGTGGCTTCTGCAGCAAAGCCGCTTCTGACAGGACAAGGGCAGGAGGGAGAGAAGTCTTGGCAGCACAGGGTAAATGGTCCGAGGGTTCAGGGGCCGGCCCCGCATTCCCCCTGAATGCAAAGGAACTTTTGAGTGACTTCTGGGGAACCCTCCAGGGCAGCAAGTCCTTGGCTGTCCCTTCAGCAGAAGTCTCAGCCCCCTCCCACCTCTGGGACCTCTGCTGGGAAGCCTGGCTGTTACCTACAGCCAAGGGCTCTGAGGGGCAGAGTCCTCAGGAGCCCCCTTGCCCCTCCTCATTTTTCTGCACAGCAATACCAGATCCTTACCAGTGAGCAGACTGACAGTCAGGCCCACCACAATAACTGTGGTAGAGTTGTGAGCGCTGTACCATAAATAAGACAGAGAATAGAATCGCTGCAGCCCTGTGGGCCTGGAGAGAACGGGGGGGGGGGGACAATTAGCAACTGGTTGAAAGGGCATTCTTAGACACCTCATTCTATCCACCTACAACAACACTACCCAAGACAACACTTCCCTAAGTCCTCTGGTGGCCAATCCCTTAGCAAGGCCTGTTTAAGATCCTTAAAACTGAGTTTCTGCCCTCAAGGAGAAGGACAGCAAGCCCAGCCTCACTTAGAGAGGGTGGTTGAGGTCATCAGGGTGGTCACAGTAGTGGTGGTCAGATTGGTGGGCAGGCTGAAGATGGACCCATTAAGTGAAGGTGCAGTGCTAGAGCTCATGCTGGTCACTATGCTCCCAACGCCGATCCAGAAGGCCATGATGAGTCCCGCCAACAGGCCCACAATGGCACCCTGCCCAAAGACACAGCACACTTACTTGTCACAAGGCCAAACCTTCACAGTCTCCAGCCCCCCATCCTGAAAGCCCTGCCAACCCAGTCCACAGGCCCATCCCATGCACATGACTGTGGACCCAGATACATCACTCACAGGAGGGTTGGCRCAAGGAAAGAACATCCCAAGGCAGAAGAGTCCAAGCAGTGGCCCCCCAACCATGCCAAAGATGCTGATTGCTGCCTGGGGAGGACAGAGTTGAGGAAAAATGAGAAAAGAACACACCACCCACAATCAAAGACCCCAGGCTCACTGAGCAAGCACAACTACCCATCACTGCCTCATAGCCCCACTCATCAGCTGTCTATCTCCTCCCCCTGGAACAGAGGGCAGAGTTGACTGCAGGCATGTGCTCTGGATTCCCACTTCAGGCTGAGCTCTATGTTTCTCTGAACTGACAATATCCCAGAAGTAACCTGAGAGCTTTTTGTCACTTGAGAGTCTAAAGTGGCAAAAAGCTAAAGGTGGTCCATCAAAGGAGATTTCTGACACCTGCTCCTTAAGCCATGCCCTGCTGAAAATTTCCTGTTTCAATCAATCCCTTTTCTTCCTTACAAAGTATTTTCTTCTCTCCATAGTCATTACCTGCAGCACAGATCCCAAATGGGAAGAAATATAGGCCATTCCAAGACAAAGTATCCCATAGCCAAAGGCTGGGGAAAAGCACAAGGGAGAAAATAAGCAGATGTGAGCAAACACAATAAAAAGAGAGAAAAACAATACAACCACCCAACCAAGCCACCACCCTGGAGCCCTGGAAAGAGGGCACATATTCCTCATGCCCAGCTCCAGGTCCCTCTGCCCATTCTCAGTGCTATGTGACTCAGAAACCTCCCCCAGGAAACGCTGAGATATATAAAACCATGGGGTGAAGGCAACTGGTGTGCCCAGGATAAAATAGGTGCTGACAGTAGTCAGGGTGTATCTCAGAAAGAACAAAACTGACAATATGGGGAAGTGTAACCCCACCAAGGCTTCTGGAAAGCACGATGGCCCGGGCCTCGCAGAACTCAGGGAACCAAGGTTGAATCAGGTCTTCCATCGTAACAGTTGCCAATGAATTAAAAGCAGAGGATATGGTGCTAGAAAAAAGAGAATGAGGAACAGCACTGTGMCCAGGAGCCAAGATAGGCAGAACTAACAAGGGACTCTACAGAGAGAACAGGGCCCAAAAGGTGACAGAGATGACATATGCAACCTAGAACCATCCTCACAGTTGGAACTCAGGATACTTCAGAGGAGGTCTGGAAGGCAAGGACTCTGTCCCTTGTTGATTTTTCTTTTTTTTTTTTTTGGCAGCACTGGGGACTGAACCTAGGATCACCCATGTGGTAGGCCAAGTGCTCTACTACTGAGCCCCAGATACTGTCCTTTTCGGATGTAGGTAAAGCTTTTGTTGAAGTCAATCGATTCCTGAGAACTCTTAATCAAAACAGAGCATCATCTGCAGAGGCTGTGGTCTTATACAGTTGGACTATATCTTGTCATCCACAATGGATGGCACAGTGAGAAACTCAATGGGATCCCTCCTCCACCTGTCCCCTTGGAATAGGAGCACCACACCTGGGGCAAGTGGTCAAAGGCGATACCTGAGGGAGCCACTGAAGAGGCAGGCAACAAAGAGCCCAGGCAGGCCTGGCAGACCTTTCAGGATGTCTATCACAAAGTAGAGGACGAACTGCAAGCAGAGCAGAGTACATGGACCTCCTCAGAAGGGTGCCTTCCCCAGGTGGGCTGTGCACGGAAACCCCTCTGCACATGCCCCAGCAAGTCCCCAGAGCCTGGTGCATCAGGATAGGGAGTCAGATACACAGGCATCTGCTACTATAAGTGATCTCCCCCAAGTCAACAGAAAAGGGGCCCTGAAGAGAGAGTGACACATGGCAGCACAAGTCCCAGTTCTGCCTCTGACTAGCAGTGTGATGTCAGCACACTGCCTATCTCACCAAGGCAATTTCTCCTCTATAAAATGACACTTCTGGAAGGCTTACATAAGACCAGGCATATGACAACTCCTGGCAGAGCATGCCGTGCATAGTGAGGGACAGGTTAAAAGTAACCTTCTCCCCACACCCCCACCCCGGCAGGATGAGCACTAATTAGGTGATGACTAGGGCTGGCATCTGACTCTCTAGACTATTGGAACCTCAGAGTTAGAGAGGACTTTTCCTCCATCTCCCATCCAGGCCCTGGGGCTTTTCTGTAGCTACTCAAACTATCTGCTTGGATGCCAGGTCTGGCCTCTCATGGGCACAGGAGGGAGCTGRAGAGGCCTTCTCACTTGGTCAGGAGCTGCCTGAGACTGCTGGGTACTCATGGGATACTCCTGGTAATAGGCGAACATGACCAGGCCGATGAGGCAGCTCATGCAGAGGACCAGCTGCTGGCAGGGGAACACGGCATAGCAGGAGCTGCAAAAAGTCAGTGCCAAGGGGTAAGGCTGGGTTAATGGGCACCATCAGGCACACCCTCCTGAGCCTTCAGAGAGGAGGTCTAATTCCTGGCTCCAATGGATGCATGTGCACCCTGCCATCCTGCCCCACCTCATGCATCTCCAGAGAACCCCSTCCTCTACTGCTTCCTGACCCCGCACTCACAGCACAGCAGTCTTCTCTGTGCGGGAACTGAGGTAGCGCTGCACCTGAGCTTGGTTCACACCATATAAAGAGAGCATCATAAAGACTCCCCCAAAGGCCAGGGTCCAGAAGGTGTGCCGCACAAAGGGGTCAGGATCCAGCCTGCAACAAATGCCACCCAGCCACCATGTCAGAGYCCCAGACACCAACTTGGCTTTCTTGTCCTCCTGGAAAGAGAGGTAAGTGGACAGCAGAGCAAAGCRCCACTGCTATGCTAAGAGAATGACTTAAGACAAGGACCTGGATAGACTCAAGAGATAGCACAGCAAGCTGGAGGGAGAGTTCCCTTTTTCCAACCCCAGCCTCGTCCCAGGTAGTCATCCTGGTACCATCCTGATCCTCCACAAACACTAGCAGGGCACCTGTGATCACCGTTCCTCTCTGTAGTGCCAGTTTCCTGCCCATGCAGTGTTGCACCTGAGCTTCCCAGCATGCCCTTTGCTTATGATGCCCAGATACTAGGTTTTAGGATGGGCCTGGATCCCAGATACTGCAGACTGCAGTCAGGAAACRTGTGTACTTACTCAATCCCAGAGATACGGCCGTGCTGGGAAGCCACATCCCACACATGCCCCAAGCCTCCTACTTTGTTCGACCCCACAATGATGACTGCCAGCTGCCCTAAGAACATGACCAGTGTCTGGAACACATCTGTCCAGATGACAGCCTTCAGTCCACCCTGCAGAGAAAAGACAGCACACCTGCCAAATATATCTTCCACAGGGAGGACACAACCAGCGAGGAGGCTACACAACTTTCCGGCAGTAATCACTGGGACTCTACTGGCATCATTCCCATCCTCACTCCTACCTCCCATCCTAAATCTCATCTTCCGTCACCCCAACCTATCTGTAGATTTCATCCCATCTCCTCACCTATATTCTTATCTCATTCCTTTTTTTTTTTTTTTTTTAGTTGTAGATGAACACAAGACATTTATTTATTTATTTTTATGTGGTGCTAAGGATAGAACCCAGTGCCTCACACTTGGGAGGCAAGCACTCTGCGACTGAGCTAAAATCCCAGCCCCTCATCCCTTCTTTATCTCTCAGGCCTTACAGCACTTACCAATGCAGTATAGATGTTGCAGACAATGCCCAGGGTCAGCACAGACAGCCACAGATCAAAGCCAGTCACTGTAAGCAGATATAAGTCACACTCATATCTCTGGAAGAGGGTTTCCCAAGACAGAAGCCGGAAAAGCCCTGGTGAATGCAGCTACGCTAAGTCATAGARATGAAGCAATTAGTCATTAAAGACAAAATAAACCATTCTCAATGGGGAAAAATGTTTGCAGAGCTCCACCAAAAGGTGTTGATTAACCAATTCAGGTGAGGCATAGTAATGTTTGATCAGCTTTCAAGTAAGGTGAACCAATCCTGCTTCTACCTGATAGAAGCCAACCCAAGGGCCCATGCAATGATTTAACTCCCTGTCCAAAGTTAGGTTCTTATGGCACATTGCCCTTCTTTGACCCTCCCAAAGGTGTTTTCCCAGACTGCCACTGCTGGAAGCCAGGGGCCTGACTCCTCACCTGCATTGAGGGCCAAAGATGGAGCATAGAGCACGACCCCCATGTAGATCACCTGTTGGATATGCGAAAGGATGCGATGGGGAGAGGAGATGCAGGTGGGATGAGAGAAGGATGGACCTCAGCTCCAATTTCCCCAAGATTTCCACTTTCCTAGTTCACTTCCCTCTCCCTTCTCCTCCCAATGTCTGGCTTAATATCACCCCGGTACCTATGGTAGCATTGGACAGAATGGGCAGCAGGGGGCTGCTGATGGCTTCTATGACATTGACCCCTCACAGGAATTTCAATCCTGCCAGTCTGAGAACAGGGAAAACTCCATCTCCCTCAACATGCCTAAATTCAGCTCTCTACATGCCCCGGGCTCAATTTCTATCACATTCCACCTACCATCTGAAAAATGAAGGTCACAGTTCCACAAACCCGCACTGCTTTATTGAATCGGAGCTCCAAGTACTAGGTAGGAATATACAGAAAGAAAGGTATGGCATTCCTCCCAACTCTGCCCTCCACAACACATATCCCTTCCCTCAAAGATCCAGGAGGGAACATCTAACGCATGTCTACTCTAAGCCTTCCTCAGCAAGGCACTCCCCGGACTCCCAGCCCCACCTGGACTCCATCCAGGAAGAACTGAGAAACTCAGGGGAATTCTCTGCCATCTTCCTTGGATGGCGGTGATCTAGGGCCCTAGATCACCTCATGTATGTCCTGTTCTCTTCTCCATTCATATCTCTGGAGGTCCCCATGTCTCCCCCGACCTTCCCTGCTCACCTCATAGGCACTGGTGAGATTCAAACGGTAGAAGATGGGGATGAAGATGTGAGCAGGTATCAGCAGCCCTAGGAAGTAGGAGCAACCCAGGAACCAATACTGGGTCCCAAATCGGTAGATCTCAGATGGAACTCCCAGGATGGCAACAGCTGACTGGAAGGTGGCTAGCAGGGACAGCGCCACAGGAAAGCAGCTCATTTTGCGATCTGCCATCAGCAGTTGGCCAACAGTATGGCGGCCCCAGCCACGAAAAGCATGGTAGAGACCAATGGCCAGGGAGAGAAGCAACAGCAGAACAAATACCACATAGTCCACAAAGGAGAAGGTAGATGTGGCCACGCTTGGGTGCGAGGTTGAGAGGAGGGGGGCTGCGGTGCTCATCGTTACACTCATCCTCGCAGTGTCTGTGGTCTGCAGTCAGGTGCTGCTCCTGGGTTCTGGGCTGCCACTCAGGCAGCTTACAAGCTGGCTCCCAGCCACGGTTATCACAGTCCTCCTCTTCCACCCAGTGACATGGTCCAGGGTGAGCTGCAAGGAGTCAACTTCTAGTCAAGCCTATTTTGTTCCATACCTGTTAGACTTGCACCAGACAGTGTGGCGATAACTACCTGTGAAGGCCTGGGATGGGCTGGTTAGGGGAAATCGGAAAGGGAGGAAGCAGCAGAGTAAGAGAGCCAGGAGACAATAATTTGGCTAGGACCTTTGGGTGTGCAAAGCTGTGAAATTCAATAATATTCTTGGGCCTCCACCTAAGTAGCAAAAAGAAAAATCAACTCTAGCTCCAGTTTCTTTTCAGAATTAATATAAACTTTGCCTTGTAGGCAAAGACCCAGTCACCATAATGTACTAAGCTAGTAGAGCCCAGCCTGGCGCCACAGCCCTGCAGGGAAGAAGAAATGGAGAACAATGACAGCAGGGCTTCCCCTGTTCCCCTTGCCTCAGCCTTACCTCCCATGATTCCCAGAATCACCCTTCTAACAGCACCACTTCTCAGCACTGCTCAACAGTGAGCTTGCCTCCATGGCAACCCAAACTCCATTCTAATCACTCTGTGCCCTTTCCTTTCTCTCCAACACTACTCAATCAACCTGATACCCAATTTCTCAGACCCTCCACCTGCCCTACCAAGGTCAATAACAGATCTGGAAAGAATGATGGGATTCCAAAGTGAGAGGCAAGGTGCCAGCCAGGGCACTGTGCTGGAACCAAGGATTGAAGATTATGATTCCAGAACCACTGTGGACAAAAGCTAACCAGCTGGGGAGAATGTTCGCACACTGTGTAGGCAGACACCTACCTGGAGAAGTAATCCCTGTTCTGTGGCAGAGCTGGGCAGAGGTGGAGTGTCTGGCTGTATAAAGTGACTAAGAAGAGACCAGGAATGAGGTGTAGGGAAAAGCTCAAAAGCTATTTGTTCTGGTCCATCCATGCAGGGAACCATTCACTGTGAACCAAATGGCCCTATCACCCCAACTCAGAAGTTCCAAAATGGGAAGCAGTGAGCTCATATTCAATAGCATTCCTAGATGGATTAGGCTTTCGGCCTAAGTCACTCTTGGCACCCTGTGTGCTGGAGGGAGTTAGAAAGGAGGAACTGAGAGAAAATGGGAAAGTTGCTTTTCTAACTCCCACACAAAAAATAGTAATCCTCCAAGAACACACAGAGAAGCAAAGAGGGAACTGCAGAATTWCAGCATTTAAAGAAATCTTAGGTGATCACTATTATATCCTCCTCATTTCACAGATAAGCAAAGGCCCAGATTATTCAAGTGAACTTTTCATAAGCACAGCCAATTGTTGTCAGAGGCCAGATCAGAACCAGGATCTAATAATTCCCCATCCATTCTGCTCTCCATAAATATCATCTTGTYTTCAGAACCAATGCCCTAGGAGTACTTATTGGTATGGAGGAAAAGACACCAGAGTGTCATGTATTTAGATAGCCTAACATTAACATTTTCTAAACATCTGCTATATAGTCCAGAAGTGTGCTAAGTGCTTTGCTCTCATTAGTAACACTAAATAATGAAGTTATAATGGCTGATGCTTTCAAAATACCATTTCTCAGGTTAAGACAGGAATTTTTCACAAGGTAATTGAAACAAATAATTTGCTTAAGGTTATGCAGTATGATACAAAACAAGGGAGAAAATAAAATAGTGCTGTCTAAAGGAAGAGTATTGTCTGTAAAGATCTGTCCTTACTACTCCAAGAAAGGGCAGGAGCTGAGTGTTAACTATAGTCAATCATTCAAGACACATAGTTTACATTTCAACTAATCTAGAGATAGATTAATATAAACTGTGTCTTCTGGTCCTGCCCACCGGAGGGAAGATCAGGCCGACCTTTAGCTCTCCAGAATTCTTGGGCATATGCTACCTAGTTAGCAAGGAATAGACTGAATCTGAACTTGGAACCTCCTGGGACCAATGAAAAGAAGAAAGAGCTGGCAACTATTGGGTCACATGTTTACAGTCACAAATGCTAGTGTCTAGAACAAAGTTCTGAACAGGTCACTCTGGTTTAATCTAAAGATGCCCAGGGCTTTTTTATGTTGCAACATCTTGAGTTTTCTTGTTCCTCTTTGACAATTTTTACTGCTAATGATAGAGATGATGGGAACTACTAGAAAGAGATGTCTGCTATGTGCAACAAAGAACACGTAGAACTAAATGGTTAATGGCACTGATAGGCAGGTGGTTACAGAAAAGACTGGGACACCATACTGCTGAGGTAAACTGATAGGCTTCCTGATAAAATTCTATTTGCCTGAAGTACAGAGAACCCTCCTGGATGGCTAAAGAGAGCCAGGAAAGACAGGGAAAAAAAAAAAAAAAAAAACAGTAACAAAGCCTTCATCGAACACAGTATAATTCTAGGAACAGAGCAGTGGCTTTCTAAAAACCCTACACTGATAAAATCCAATGGACTTGCCAGAGAGTTGGAGTCAAAAGGAGGAACCAAGTTGTTTCACTAAAACTTCAACATACCAAGGTACMAACAGCTCATGGAGGCCCCTTTTAAAAAAGCCTTACTCACTTTGGTCGCACATTGCACTGGAATGCTTTGACTCCTACAAAATGTAAAGGACCCACTGTAGGATCAACTTCTCCAAAAATATTCTCTCAAAATTTGTCTTGTGTCTAAAATTCCTCAAGGTCTGAAAAGCTTGGGGCTTCTTATCAAAATGCGAAGATCGGATTTTAACATCTTGGAAAATGTGCCTGCCATCCAAATGTAAAATACAAATTCCGAAGATTCTCAGGTATAGGTACCTAGTAATAGATACCTGGGAGAACACGAAGGGGAGGCTCTGCTGGCTACTCGAGATGAGTTCTGGTTGGCTTCAATGAGCTTTTATTTTTTATTTTTTTKGGGGGAGGGCAGGGGGGACGCTAATCAAAGCAAAAACTGTTTCTCCAAAAGCAGGCGTCCCCTAGCACCCTTCAGTCAGAACACCGGCTACCCTGGGACACTGCTGCCTTGCCTTACCTCCGTTCTTCAGCCAGGGCTAGGAAGGTCCCTTCTTTCTTTCCGAACTCAGCATCGCTCCCTGTCTTTGGAAAGGAAGAGAGAGAGAGAGAGAGAGAGAGAGAGAGAGAGAGAAGGGCACGTCTGTGTTGCCCCAACCTCCTCGCTATGCTCTGGGACGCCGCGCGGTCTCAGGACTGAGGTGAAGGCGACTTGGCACCCGGGGCGTTCCCAGGCTCGTGTCCTCCCGCCCGTATTTGCCCTTCGCCCTCCGCTCCTCCATCACCCTTACCCTCTTTCTTTCCCGGCTTTCCCCTGCCCTCCACACGTGCCGAGCTCACCTCTTAACTGCTCGCACTTCAGATCTCCAGTCCACACGCTTAGGGACAGTCCGCTCCGCCCCTACYAGTCCCTCCTCGCCCTCCCAGAAACTGTTCTGCCCAGCCCCTTCGCCCCCGCCCACTCCGGCCCGGCCCAGCCCACCTGCCGGGTCTCCACACGTGGATTGCTGGAGGGCTGGGCTCGCAGCGCCCAGGCCGGGTGACAGCGGGGCCCCGCCCCCTGCCCGCCCCAGCCGCTGTGCCGCCATGTTTACTGAGGGCGGATGGAGAGGCCAGAATCGCTGCGGGGGCGCAACCTTGGCATCTGGACTAGCAGAACGCGGGCCGGAGGGAGTCTGCAGTCGGCTCACGGGAGCTGAGCGGCTACAGGGGCGTATGCCAAAGGGGGAAGTGAAAAGGCGAGTGGGTCTGTCCACCCAGAATGAGCACTGGAGCGCACCGAAACTAGCACGGACCTCGTAGAGATGTCCGCCCCTCGGCGACTGGACCTGTCCGACTAAGCCACGCCCCGAGGCGATTGCACTAGAAGGGTTAGATCACGCACCTTTAGAGGGCGTGGCGCTCCGGAGGCGGGGCCCCGTGCTGCTCTCGCGAGCTSTCAAGGAGGTCGGAGAGGGCGGAAAATGGCGCCTATCGTTCCTAGTAGTGGTGCAAGCCTGGTTTCCAGGGCTATGGCCCTGCTCCTCGCTCTGGGCGTGGAAAGGGCTCTGGCGCTACCCGAGGTACAGAAGCAAATTGAAGCCGGGCTGAAGTAGGGTTTGTTGACCCTCTGTGTGTCGCGCTTGCCCGCGGTTCTCCCCTCCCTCTGCCGGCTCAAGCTCGRATTTCCTCCTCGAGGCCTCCAGATCCTAGTCCCAGGAATACCCCAGACGGATCCTACTCCCGAGTACGAGTACTCACAGTACTCACGTTGCCCAGGCCTCCGGCGCCCTCGCCCTGCCCACATTCAAAGACCTATGAAATTCGACCTCCTCTCTCCTCAGCCTTTGAATAATTTTAAATTCTTCGTGCGGATGAGTCCTATGACTCTTTTGCAAGCTGTCCAGTCACGAATGCCGTGCGTGGTGCGGTGATAGGACTATTCTTTCTGTAATGCTTGACGAGTTCTTTGTGTTCCTGCAGTCCTTTTACGCTCGGCTAAACTGGGGCTGCCAAGATGCGAAGTCTCTGGAGAGACCATAGTAAAAACCTTGTGTAGTAATCCTCAAAGATAAAGATCTTTCCTGTGTGAAGACTGGTACTGAAAATCTGACGCACTCGTTCAGCGCCCAGCTTTAGGAGAAGAAATGGCATCTCCTAGTCCAGCCTGATAAAAAGATATGACATGAGCCATCTCCCCTGCGTTAGAGGAATTCTGGAGAGGTGTACTGGCAGTGAATTCTTGATCCTTGTTTGTTCTCTTGGCTTTTCTTTCTACAACCCTAATGAGGTTTCTTTCTCTTCTGCAGATATGTACCCAGTGTCCGGGGAGTGTGCAAAATTCGTCAAACGTGGCCCATTACTGTAAGCAGACTCCGGAGCTAATGCTGCACGCCCGCTGCTGCCTGAATCAAAAGGGCACCATCTTTGGGTGAGGGAGTAGAAGACATCCTTGGATACCGGAAAAGAGTTTCAGACCTAAATCTACAATCCTTGCCAGATTGGGTTTTGAGATAAATATTGGTGCCTAACCGGAGGCATCTAAACCATGATCCTCAAACTTTTAAATTTGTTATAGCGTTTTTGGCTAGGTAAACAATCCTGTGCTTCCTGGATGAAACTGCTTAAAAGTCATAGTTTGGGCCTTTTTAAAAATAGGCTTTTATGCTGGGCTCAGTGGTGAATGTCTGTCATCCCAGCGGCTCAGGAGGCTGAGACAGGAGGATCAGAGTTCATAGCCAGATTCAGCAAAAAGCAAGGCACTAAGYAACTAAGCGATACCCTGTCTCTARCTAAAATATAAAAARGGGGGGGGGGATGCTGATGTGGCTCAATGGTTAAGTCCCTTTGGTACCAAAAAAGGGCTTTTATGGCACCATTTTGAAAAGAGCTTTGTTCTTTTGTTTATTATCAAGACTTGGGTTATTTACTGTGTGTCTGGAAGAGATTCTCCCCTTACTGGCTTTTCTTCCTTTTCTGATTAATTCATTTTTTCTTTAGGACAAATTCCTCTTCCTGGCCCTTTTTTCAGGTTAACCCCTCAGATTTACTCCTTGGCCTGGCTGCCTTTTTCCCTTTACACTTTTTTTTTTTTGGGGGGGGGGCAGGGGGATCTGCCTATTCTTTTTTTTTTTTTTTTTTTTGGGGGGGGTATGGGGGATTGAACTCAGGGACACTCGACCACTAAGCACATCTCCAGCCCTATTTTTTATTTTATTTAGAGACAGGATGTCACAGAGTCGCTTAGGGCCATGCTAAATTGCTGAGGCTGGCTTTGAACTCTTGATCCTCCTGCCTCAGCCTCCCAGTGTGTGGGGATTATAGATATGTGCCATCCTGCCCAAGAATCTGTCTATTCCTAATGGCTTCAACTATAACCATCATGCAAATCTCTCCCCAAATTAGGTATCTTTTAGTGACCTTTGACTTCTTCAAGCTCCAGGTACATGTGGGTATCTCTAACCTATTAAACATTTCTTCCTGGGTACACTCTAAACTTCAAATTGGAAAATGTCATCCCTTGCTCTCGTTCTCTTCTTTCCCTAATCTACCTAGATACTTCCTGTGTTAAACTTTCTGAAAGCCAGTTTTTTTCATTATCATTATCTTGCTTTCATATTGTATGTGTAACTATTTCTTGCCCACAGGATACAGTTGAAATCACGAACTACCATAACTAGTCCCAACCTGTTTTTCCATCATTTAAATTACTTGCCCACTCAAACCCTCCATAAGGTCTAGCTCCAGCCAGACTTGCCTCCTCCCCAAAGGCATTCCATTTTTGTTAGTTTCTTCATGCCTCTTTCCATAACTAAAATTGTATTCCTCCACCAAGTTAGGACATAGCAATACTTAAATTCCAACATCCTTTGTGAATGCTCCCTACTACCACATCCCAGAGTAATATCTTTTCCCTTGTAACTCTTAGTGTTTATACCATTCAAATTTCTGTATATGGTCTCCTATGATTTCTTTCATATTGTAATTTAATGTATTCATTTTTAGTGTTTTTTTTTAAGTTATGCTCTTGTTCCCCTACTACATTGTAATCCACTTGAAGACTAAGATACTGTGTTATATATATTTTGTCCTCTCCTAATTTTTGCAGTTTGTAGTTACTCAGTAATTTTCCCCCCAGTACTGGTGATTGAACCCAGGGGAGCTGTGTCACTACGTTTCATCCCCAATCCTGCTTATTTTACACATCTCATTAAATTATACCTGTTGGCCTCAAGCTTGTGGTACTCCTGCCTCAGTCTCTCAAGATGCTGGGATTACAGGTGTTCACCACTGCACATGGCACTCAGTAAGTGTTTGTAAAATAAAGGACTGGAAAGCAATAGATAGTGAAGAAAAAATAGCATGTCATGGAGTTTAATGTCCAGGAGTTTAGAATCCGTCTGTAATAGAAGTTGCACTTGGAAAAAAACTGTATGTGATACATTTTTTTTTAATTTAAATGTCTTCTGTGGATCTGAGAATCKATATAAGATTCACTAATCTAAACAAGAACAAAATTTCTTCCAATATTTGCACAGTGCATAGAAAAAAGTATTAGAACAGTTTGGTCCAATAGAATATTCTGTGATAATGGAAATGTTCTAATCTGTACTAAACAAAACATAGCCACTAAGGTGGTTATTTCACATGCACTTTGAAATGTGACTAATGTAAATGAAACACTGAATTTTTAGACTAAATTAAAGTAACTACATATAGCTAGTATTGATTGTGTCAGATAATGCATGATTGAAATGTCCACTACAACACCTAGTCTGTGGCTCTAAACAATTGTATTCAATTACCATTAGCTGAAAGGGGGACTGCATAATCAAATACAAACCTTGCCTTGGATTAAAAAAAAAAGATACATAGTTATACCAATTATTTTATTTCCTCAGATTGGATCTCCAGAACTGTTCTTTGGAGGATCCTGGGCCAAACTTTCCTCAAGCATATACTGCTGTTATCATGTAAGTGGTTAGGTTCCCTCTTGCCCAAAAGGTGAATATGATAAAGTGTTGATAGGAAAATCTTTGGGGATGGACCCTTTAGAAAGTAAATGAATATTAATATTGGATAATCAGGAAAAAGATACTTTACTGAACAGTGTGTACTTTGCAGAGACCTTCAGGCAAACCCTCTCAAGGATAATTTGGCCAACACCTTCCGTGGCTTTATCCAGCTCCAGACTCTGTGAGTAACAGGATAGGGCAAATGCTACAAATTCAACAACTTTGGGCTGCATTTTCTTTTTCTTCTTTCTTTTATTTTATTCTTTTTGGTRTTGGGGATTGAATCTATGGCTCTTGCATGTTAAGCATTTGCTCTACCTCAGAGTTACGCCCTCAGCCCCTCAGGTTGCATGTTATGATCACCTATGTTGTCTTCAGGGTACTGCCACAAGGTATAAGCTGTCCTGGGGGTAATGATGCCTGGAAACAAGTTATCTCTTATAAAGACAACAAGATCTGCCAAGGGCAAAGGAACCTTTGCAATAGCACTGGAGACCCAGGTATGCTGTCTTATCTCCACCCTTCTGAGCATTTCCTTTCCTCCCTTATATTATCTGTTTTAGATCAGAAATATAATGATACTTAAGTTGTCTTTTGTTTGAAGATCTGAGGCTTTAACTCTTTGGAAAGAAAAGATCTTAAATATTATTATGTTCTGATTATTTGTATTCTGAGAACTAAGTTAAAGCACATATTTTGGAATAAACCTGATTCCATTCAGAGATGTTCTCCTTTCTTTCTGACTTCCAGAAATGTGTCCGGAGAATGGATCTTGTGCAGTTGATGGTCCTGGTCTCTTGCAGTGTGTTTGTGCTGATGGCTTCCAAGGATACAAGTGTATGCGCCAGGTGAGGATTTGACCTTCTTATTAGTAATAAAAGGAATGCATAGGGCAGGAACCTCTCTGAAAGGAAAGCCACAAGAAGCTGATGCCAGTTACCTAGAGAAGAGGAGCTATAGGGGAATTGCCCAGAATGAACTAGGTGTTAGGATGTAGTCCTCCGTGCAATGAATGCTGTGTAATTTTTTTTTTTTTTTTTGGTTAATCACAGGGCTCCTTCTCACTATTTATGTTCTTTGGGATTCTGGGATCCACCACACTATCCCTCTCCATTTTGCTTTGGGGAACCCAGCGCCGAAAAGCCAAGACTTCATGAACTACACAGGGCTTCCTACTGACCTAAGATCATCCTGATGTATATAGCCCAGCAAGGAAGATTTGTTAACTTGACGGGCATCATTGACCAACGGACCCTCCTAAGTCTGAGGCTGCATTTGGAAGGAAAAAGAAAAATTGCACTACGCTAGTGTTGGACACTCTTTTGAGTCAGGAATGAACCAGTACCAGTTCCCATTTGTGCTGTTGACTACAATAAACATTAAAAAAAAAAAAAAGAACTTTTCCCCTTTTTTTTTTCCTCTCTTTTTTCTTTTTTACATTTTAGGGAAAGGCGGGTAGTCTTTCGTGTTTCTTGCTTGGGGGGGCAGCTTCGCGGAGGCCGGGTTTTTCAGGTCTCGCTGGTTTGGCGCAGCGGAGACGACGCTGGACGACGCGGGCGCACCTCGAGCCCCGCCCYGAACGTGCCCGGCCCCGCCCCTCACGCTGCCTTGCTGCTCGCGCCGCCGCAGTCGTGCAGTCGCGGAGCGCGCCYAGGGCTCTTATCTCGCGGCGCCCGCCTTCTCTCTAGCGCTCTGTGCTGCTAGCCACGTGGACCGACTCCGGCGCGCCGCCCTCGCGTGGTTCCAGTGGGGCGTGCAGCGCCTCCTGCGTCTCTGGGTTCACCCCTGCCTCAGCTCGGTTCCCATGGCGGCCCTGGTGTTGGAGGACGGGTCAGTGCTGCGAGGCCGGCCCTTCGGGGCCGCTGTGTCGACTGCCGGGGAAGTGGGTAAGCAAGCCCGGGCGGGCTGCCGACCGCATCCCCTCAGATGCCCTTCTACCCAACCCGCGGTGCCCAGGCCCCACCTACACACTCCCTCATCCCCATCGGTGCCACGGCCCCGGCCCTTTCACCCCTCACCACCAAGGCAGCCTCCACGAGGGTAACCTCCGCTCTGGCGGTGTTGTGAAGGGTGCCCTTGCCCGAGTCCAGCTGTGCCTCTTTTTGCAGTGTTTCAAACCGGCATGGTCGGCTACCCCGAAGCTCTCACTGACCCTTCCTACAAAGCACAAATCTTAGTGCTGACATATCCTCTGATCGGCAACTATGGCATCCCCCCAGATGAAGTGGATGAGTTCGGCCTCCGAAAGGTAGCCACGCCCAATCCTTTCTCTCTACATTTCTTTTCAAATCTGTAGTTGTTAACTGTTGGTGAAATGACGACATTGACACCCTGCTAGGCATCCTGGAAAGAACAAAGATACCCGTTGAAGCGGTAAATACTAAGACAACTGTAGGTAGGGGTTGTTAAGTACCTAGAGAAGCGCAGAGTGCAATATTTTGTCTGTAGTGAAGGCATGGATCCAGGAAAGTGGCAAAGGGATTGGGAGAACAGTTGTCCAAATAGGAATGCAGAAATAATAAAAGTCCTGCAGATAGGTTGTAGTGAGTGTGGAGGGCTTGAAGCCAAACCAATTTGAGCTTAATTTTTTAAGGAACCAGCAAAGGATTTATAACAGTAGAATCATGTGAGGAGAGCTGGGCTCCGGCATTACATAAATTAGTAGGAGATTGGAAAGGGTCATTCCTTTCTGGGTGACAGTGGGTACTAGTTTACCTACAAAACCAGTGACATTGATTATTATCCTTTAGACTTCTTACATTGCCTTTTCTCATTTTCTACTTTTCAAGTGTTTTTATTCTAAATTATAAAATTGAGTCTCCTGCTAGAGTGAGATTTCCCTAGTCTTTCTCCTTGGAATTTGGAAACTAAGTTGTCCTCTGAGAGTTCAAGTTAAAAAAAAAAAAAAAGAACCAACTGCATAGGTAATAGTGGAAGTCACCATAGCCTAGATTCACTATTCCTCAAAACTTACTTTGGCCTGATTCTAGGCTTGCTGAGCCTTTGATTCTTGATTTGCTCTCCTGGCAAAAGGGAGCACTGAATAAGAGATACTCTCATTGTTATTCCTGAAAAGAACCCTTCTTCATTATAAACCTTTAAACACACTGCATTCTAGTTTATAATGCAATATCTTGTGAATTTGATTAACATATGTCAGTCATCAACTTTATCAGCTGTGGACACACCGACAAAATTGAGTTTATAAAACTGCAAAATTGAGATCCTGATAGGGTCAGTGGAAGTGAGGCCTCATAAAAACCTTAGCCCAACACTGATACTTTTGTGGCACGTGTGCTGTAAATGGACTTGCACATGTGTGGATTAAATCCATCTTCCTTTAAACCCTTCACCATTGAGCTGATTGTGATATAAGTGTGCTACTCCCTCTCACAGAAACTTTGTTTTGTTATTATTTATTGAGTAACAAAGTTGTGTTATACTTTTTTAAATGATAATCCCTAATAAAGTAGGAAAAGAATATGATATGTCTAGTATTGTACTGTGCTACTTATTACTATTTTTATCACACTATATAATTAACATTTATTTATATGTGGTTTCTGGCTCCCTAAGTCAGAAATTAACATCATGAAGAAGGAACCTCTTCTTTTTGTACTCCTTGCTTTTCCCCAGCATCTATTAAAATGCTTGCACATAGTGAACATTTAGTAAACGTTTGTTAACTGATACTGTGTGGTCAGACACAAATACATATTCACAATACAATGTAAATGGMAAGAAGGGAAGGTGGTAGGTGAAATCTTAGAAGGAGGCATAAGCTATAGTGGATGAATGGGAATTCCTTCACAGAAAAGAGTATTTGTGAACTCAATTTTGGATAAGGGAAAAGCAAATTGTCATTTTCAGCAATCAGGCATGCTGAGCCTATATATTCAGTATTTTCTATAGTGCACAGCAAAGTTGGTAAAGGAACTATCTGTGCAAAACCATAAAATACTAGGTATATTGAAGGAATGACAGGTCAGCTAGTGTGGTCAAGTAGAAGGTCTATGGCCAGACAGTGGGGRCAAATGCTTTCGGGAGATAGTTAGCCCCAAGCTCTTCACCTTCTCCTCTTTTCATCTGTAGTGGTTCGAATCCTCGGAGATCCATGTGGCAGGACTGGTGGTGGGAGAGTGCTGCCCCACACCTAGCCACTGGAGCGCCACCTGCACCCTGCATGAGTGGCTGCAGCAGCATGGCATTCCTGGCCTGCAAGGTATGGTGACAGGCCACTGGTGTGTCACAACAGAGCATAGTGTGCCTAGATGGAAAGAATCAGAAGGTTTCTGAAGTCTTTCAGAACCAAGGTCTAAGGTGACAGAAAGTGTCAAAAGTTTAGATTGGCATTTGGGGCTTGGGGAAGAAACTGAGCTATCACTCAAATGGAAAATTTCCATTATACAAAGGAAAGAATAGTATAATGAATTCCATAATCATCCACTTAAGACTGATCTTATTTGATCACCACTGTTACCATCCCTAGGTTATTTTAAAGCAAATCTCAAACATCATATCACTTTTTTAAAACTTACACACACACATATATTTTAGTTGTAGGTGGACACAGTACCTACATTTTATTTTTATGTGGTGCTGAGGATTGAACCCAGTGCCTCATGTGTGCTAGGCAAGTGCTCTACCACTGAGCCACAACGCCAGTCCTCAAACATCATATCATTTCATCTACAGTAGTTTAATGTCTACGAGAAAGAATTTTTTAAAAAAAGTGACTAATGCTGTTATATTTTTWAAAAATTTATTCCTTATATGCAGATAATGTTAAAATTTTCCTCAGTCACCTAATTTCTTTTAACTATTTGTTTATTTGAATTTGGCTCTAAACAAAATTCATATGCTACATTTGGTTGCTATTACTTAAATGTAATCTATGGACCTTTAACCTATTTGAGGAAAACAGGTCATTTTTCCCTAGGAATATCCCATAGTTTGTTGGCTGTATTCTTACAGTGAAAGTTAGCATGTCCTTTTTCCTTGTGGAATTAACTTTCTGTAATTGGATTGATCTAGAATTGTGATTCAATTCAGATGTGATATTCAGGGCACAAATACTTCATGGTAGTGTCCTTTGATCAGGAGTGGGTTTTTTTGTTGTCGTTGTTGTTTAATGTAAATGGACACAATACCTTTATTTATTTATTTTTATGTGGTACTGAGGTGCTAAGCAGGCATCCTACCACTGAGCTACAACCCCAGCTGTTTGACCAGGATTTTGATGCCCATAAAATAGTGGTGTGTGACTTAGATCTCTGGAATGAAAGTGCTCCTGGATGACTTAGTTGGGGGAGTGTGATCTCTGAGACTATGCTATTTTTACAGGAGTGGACACTCGGGAGCTGACTAAGAAGTTGCGGGAACAAGGGTCTCTGCTTGGGAAATTGATCCAGGATGGGACTGAGCCTTCAGCCCTGCAATTCTTGGACCCCAATGCCCGGCCCCTGGTGCCAGAGGTCTCCATTAAGGTACAAAGGGACAGCAGAATTTTGTAAGTGGAAGCATGTTGGTTATTTTCTGCCCACAACTGGGATAAACATGTGAGGGTGAATCAGGGGGCCTCAAAGGTAGGGGTTGGTGGGGGCATACCTTATACCTGCTGATCATAGCGGCCAACTGTTGATGCTCTTTATTCCTTAGACTCCGCAGATATTCAATGCAGGGGGTACCCCTCGGATCCTTGCTTTGGACTGTGGCCTCAAATATAATCAGATTCGATGTCTTTGCCGGCGTGGGGCTGAGGTCACTGTGGTTCCCTGGGATCATAAATTAGACAGCCAACGTGAGTAGCTGCGGCCTATCCAGGGCTTCAGACCAGGAGCTTGGGTGGAAGATCAATCCATCAGTCTAGTTGCTAGGAGCAACTTTTACTCCTGTAAAAATAGCATAGTCTCAGTGAAAAAGACGAGGCACCAGGGCTTTTGTTCATATGATAAGAGCTGTGGTTTGTCTCTTCTGGTTGAAATCCTATGTTCAATGATATCTTTTCTGCCCACTGCAGAGTATGATGGTCTTTTCCTAAGCAATGGCCCTGGTGATCCTGCCTCCTATCCCAGTGTGGTAGCCACACTGAGCCGTGTCTTATCTGAGCCTAATCCCCGACCTGTGTTTGGGATCTGCCTGGGACACCAACTGTTGGCCTTAGCCATTGGGGCTAAGACCTACAAGATGAGGTRAGACTTGTGAGAAGAGGAAGGTGACACACTTGTAACATGAGGGGGGCGTGGGGTACATTGGGGACTGGAAGAGAGTCA